ACTATTTCAAATAAAAATTTCAATTTTTATTTGAAATAGTAAAGATTTTCTTTTTCTTAACAAAATCAACACACTTCATATACTAAAACTTTAATTTATGATTTATTAATTTTATTTTAATAATTCCCTCATGACCTAGTGTGAAATCTGATGATGATAATTTTTAAGGATAGTTTTTTATAAAGTAATTTATTAGAATGTTAAATATATAAAATGACAAGTAAATTTCAATAAACTTCTTTGTACTACTAGCATCTAGTATTATAATTCTGGCCTCTTTGTGCTCTCTGAGCAGTAAGGGGCTTAAAACCACAAAAAAAAAAAAAACAAAAAAGGGGGGTTATTATAATCCACTAGAAAAATAGTGCTTGAGCCTACTAGTGATATTTTTGCTATTTCTTTTCATAAATAGTTTATTTCAACCATAATTTCATTTGAAGTAATATTTTGAAATACCTAATACAAATTGTATCAAAAAATAATAATTCTCCTAACAAATATTCAAAATCTTATGTATCAGAATTGTATAGATAATCTGTTAAACTCAATAAGTACAGAACATCTTTTAATCATGGCATCCCAAGTTGAAGCATCACCTGAGCATACACTGTGTAGCAACCATAAAATTGTTATTCTTGAAATAAGTTTCAACAGTGAAAACATGATGTTCAGCAGTCCATCTCTTCACATCAAACAAATAAACAAAATGGCAGCTCTTTAACAAAAGAACACTGCATCATTTGACACACACTGATGCATTATGTCATTGCATGACACTAGTCAAAATATGCTATTAATGCTGCCACATCATGTATTTATAATTTCAGAACAAAATTTTAACAAAATATATAAGTTCAAATCATTTATATTTTCTAAACTATCTTCATAATTTTGCAGTTTTATATATATAAATGAGGATGCTGTTTGTTTACTATGCACTCCTAACTCGGCAGTTACATTAACATACTTTTAACTTAGATAATGTCATACATGTACATATCAACCCAAAATATTAATTGAATTTTTATACATGAATCAATTTGCGTACATTTGATTTGCTGGCATTATATATACTGCCATTTATTAGCAAAAAAATTTAAACAAATAATAAATTGAATACAGTGGAACTCCAGTTAATGAATGTAATCCATTCCATGAGTCCATTAACCGAAGCAATTTTTCCCATAGAAATTAATGCAAATACAATTAATCCATTCTAGCAGTCAGTATTTTTGTAATTTTATTTGTAAAATGGATTTTCTTTGATGAAAATATAAGAAAACATAGTATCTATCATTACAGTAACAAATATGTAAACTTTATTTAATATAGTAGCACTGTACATATCTTTGTTTCTACAGAGCTTAATACTTGGAAGAGGAATCCCCCTCAATAAAAATATCGGGTAGCACTGCATCGGGAGTTTCCTCGATTTGAGATCTCTTTTGATAAGGAACAAGAAAGTAGTCTGAAGTCTCTCTTAATCAAAATTTTTCTAAAATGCGCTAGCACAGTGCCGTTCATTAAATTAATGACCCTATTAGCCACAACTTTGTTAGGATGGTGCTTCTCAATAAATTCCTGCACATCATTCCATTTTCTGCAAATTTCCTTGATCTCAGCACTGGTGATTTTTTCCCTAGCCTCTTCCTCTGACGAATGCTCTTCTTGTAAGACTTTTGTCTGTTCTTCCTGCATAGCAACCAGCTCTTCTGTCGTTAGTTCATTTTAATGGTCTTTCAGCAACTCCTCCACGTCTGCATCATTCTACTTCTACTCTCAGACTCTTGCCAATGGACATGATTTCATGCACTATATCAGGAGAGCTCTCTTCTTCAAATTCCTGAAAGTTTCGCTCTGGGACACAATTGACCAAAGTTTCCTCCAGGCCGATTGCAAAGTGCGGTGAGAGACCTCACTCCAGGCTTTGTGAATAAGGTTGACAAATGCAGGATGTTAAAACACTCCTTTCAAAAAGCTCTAACAGTTAAGTCAGTATCATTGGTAACTTGAAAACACATGGTAAACAGTGCCTTGGTATACAGCTTTTAAAATTGGAAATCACTTGCTGATCCATTGGTTGCAGTAATGGAGTTGTGTTGGGTGGAAGGAATTTGACCTTGATGAAGTCAAGTTCACTATCCAAGTTGTCCTCCAAATTTGGTGGATGTGCTGGAGAATTATCCATTAAGAGAAGACATCTAAGAGGAAGATACATTTCCTGAAGATAATTTTTAACAGTAGGAGCAAACACTTCTGTGAGCCAATCCATGAATAAAGTCCGAGTTACCCATGCCTTACTATTTGCTTTCCATTGTACAGGCAGTTTGGACTTTATCACATTTTTGCTCTTAAAGGCATGGGGATTTTCAGTGTGAGGAATTTTCAGAAAGACTAAAAGTGGCTTGATTTTGAGGTCACCACTTGCATTAGCGCAAAATAAAAGAGCGAGTCTGTCCTTCAGGGGGCTTGTGCCCGGGAAATGCTTTCTCTTCTTGGGTTATGTACATTCGTCTAGGCATTCTTTTCCAAAAAAGACTGGTCTCATTGCAATTAAACACTTGATTCCAGACGTATCCTTCACTTTTTGCAAACTCTGCGAATTCATCTACAAATGCTTTTGCTGCTTTTTCATCTAACTTGAAGCTGCCCCATGTCTTATGACACTGTGAATGCCAGTTCGTCGATGAAACCTATCAAACCGCCCTTGGCTTGCTTTAAAGTCCTGCCTGTCTGCACTTGTACTGGGTGTCTGGGTCAACAAGTCATTGTATAAATTTTTAGCCTTTTTACAAATTATAGTTTCACTAACACTGTCTCCAGCAAGTTGCTTTTCATTGATCCATATTAGCAACAGTTTTTCAACTTCATCTAAAACTTTAGATCTTTGTTTCAATATCACATTCACTCCTTTAGCCACTTTGGCAGCCTTAATTAAATGCTTTTTTGCTTTTAATAATTGTAGAGATAGCTAAAGAATATAATGTGGCAAAATTGACTATGTCAGACACACGAATGCCATTCTCGTATTTTGAAATAATTTCTTTCTTTAATGCTACACTAAAACGTTTTCTATTTCGACTGTCACTTTTCTCTTTCTTCAGTGCCATATTGATTAAATATACAGTATATATAACAAAACTAAAAAACGAAGTTTAGCACACTTGAAAAAGCCTAAGAGCAACTGAAATTTGTGAGGCTCCAGAACGGCTGGAAACTATTGGGTTTATGCAAAAGTTTGTCCTGTTTTTAGCACCAGCTGGCAAAAAACACAACACTGAAGTATTATTTCCTTCACATGTGTAAAATTTCGATGTTGTTTGACAAAAGGGATCTCAGCTAGTATTTGAGAATAAAGTTGTGTTACTTAGTTATATTTTTAAAATTTTGTTAAGCATTACAAATGGCAGAAAATAAGGAGCATTTTGACATATTATGCTTTTTTTATTTCCGAAAAGGCAAGAATGCTTCGCAGACACACACACACAAAAAAAAAAATGTTCTGTGTATGGTGAGGGAGCCATTGTGTGAGGAAGCCCGTAAGTGGTTCAGAAAGTTTCATGAAAGCAAGCTTACAAATTTGACACAAAAAGCCGTTAAGTTCGTTATCCGAGACAAAATTTTTGCAAAGTAAAAGTTCATCAACCGATTTGGTCGTTAACCAGGACGTTCATTAACTGGGGTTCCACTGTATAATACAAAAAAAAAAAAGAGAATATAATTATTAAAAAATCTCTGTTTTTTTTAAAAATCATGGTAAAAAATTTTATTACCATGACGAGTAGCTCTGTGCTATATCATTCCCATGACGAGTAGCACAGAGCAATTACTTGTGAGAAGTCAAAAGAGTCACACTTAAAACTACACAAGTATTTAATTTTCCACATTTAACAACTTGAGTCTTTTCATTTCTGAACAGTACATACTTAATTCTAATAAGTGCCTACCAGTGACAAAGTGGATAAAACCACCAAACACTGATAGTTGGTCACAGATTGGTGATGCACCAACAGGCTGGCCAGACGGAGTTTCCTGGGTTTTCTACACATTAGTAACACCTAAATAGAAGACAGTTTCCCATAAAAGTCTTGCTGGGAGGAATCCCTCTTGGCAGATTGCCCATATGTCGCATTGCCGTAACCAAATAAACCAAACCAATTCTAATAATTTTTCTGTAAACTCGATATTTATGAGGACATACTTCCCAAGTAGTTTATATGCATTCTAATAATGATCTTAAAATGGATTTTACCAAATACACTTTTGAAATTTACAATTAATAATTCTTGTTTCCACAATTACTTTATGAACCTGTGCAAAGTCAAAGCTAGTTTAGAATAAAATAAAATGTTAATTTTTACAGTACATTAAAGTTCTTAAAAAGTAAGGTTAAACACAAATGTTACTAAATACGAGAAACAGATTCATAGATGTGAAAGATTTCCCTCAGTCACATCCTTTCAGAAGACAAAAAATAAATTTCTACAGTTATTGTTTGTGGGAAATATATAATTAATTGCCATCAATTCTTTTTAAATTTAGTTCAAAACTTATTAAAAAATACTGCAATAAAATCAGAAAAATTACAGACATTATATAGTTATATAATAAATGCTAAAACGTTTTAATAACTAATAATTACCTAGTGCTTTAACACTTTTTCCAGCAGTTATTTTTTTAATAATGCAAATGATTTTGACCTCTTCAGCAGCCCTTCTCAGCAGCACAGAAAAAACAAAACTAAAAAAAGGAAAAATTGTTGGAAGAAGTGTTAAAGCACTAGGTAATTATTAGCTATCTCAGTGCCAGCTTCTAGGATATTTCAGTTTTAGTGATTTGTATAGTATGAACCCCAAAATTTTTCCAATACAAATATAATAAAAATTGAATGCATAAATAGTTAAGTGCACAAGTATACACAGTTATTAACAAGTTAATTATTCAAATAATTTTCTTTCAAATAGTAGGGAAAAAAATCATAAAATTAAGATAAAACTTACGTATCAGAGCCATTCCAACAACATTCAAACTTGTCAAATATGCAATCATTTTCATAAAGGCTACAAAGTTTTGATCGTAGATATTCATGTATATGGTAACATTCTACAGGTTTGGTATCCATATTTAAGTCCCAAACTTTCACAGATAAATAATCTCTGGATATTAGATAACGTCCATTATTACTAAACTTCACATCTGATATACTGGAAATGATTTCAGAGAAAAAACTTTTATTGGTTGGATCTTCAGGTTCTTCAAATACTAAAAAAGTTAAATAATAAACAACTAACTAAATAAATATTCAAGTTAAAATATTTCGGAATTATTAAAAAAAATTAAATATAAGTAATTTCGTTTAAAATGACATGTAAGTATTAATAGAAAATTTAATATAGTAAATCTTCAATTACTATATGCTTTCAATAATAATTATTTCTTTAAAAGTTATAAATCAATCTAATAAATTTTCGACAATCAATCTTAATACAATAATAAACAAAACCACATTTATATGTGCTTCTATTTTTTATGAAACTAGTTCTAGATGTTATAATGAAAATTAAGGCCAGGAACACACATGTAAAATTGAGTGTAAAATGTGAGCTTAACCCAAAAATGTAAAAATATTTTTGCCAAAACTGAACTGAAAATCAAATGGAGCATGTTCCAACTTTTAAAGCATTGAAAAATTTTAAGCCAAGATCCAAGCAATGAGAAACTAGAATTTTGATGATGCAATGCTGTTGTGTAGGTGATCATGTAAGTGTACTTTACATGACCACCCACAGTTAAAATATTGGTGGAAAGTTTGGTTTCAAGTGTGTTTTAATATTATTATAATAAAGTTAATTTTAAAAAACTTTATGTAGAATATATGACAACATGTATGTCTTTATGACAAGGACATAGAATGTATGAAGATATTACTTTCAAACAGTGTACAGTACAAACTGTAATAGGATCCAAATTTATTATGACAGGTATATGATAAAATAAACTCCTGTTTTTAAATGTTAACAAAAATTTAAACGTTTGAAATTAAGAAACTTTAATGATTTTCACAAGGAGCTAATTCACATCTGCCATTTTCAGGTGAAAAAATCATAATTGAACAGAATTGAAAATTTTGATCTCATACTACTCCAAATTTGCAATTCTGTTTGAGTATGAATTTTCAGCTGAAGATGCTAACTGTAAATTAGTTTCCAAAGGTGCTTGTGTAAATTGTTAAAATCTGTTAATTTTGAAGTTATTAAATTTTGTAATGTCAAAAACAAAGTTTATTTTAACGTATAGTGTCTGATATTGAAGACCAAGAAATCATTTAATTAAATATGACAGGTAAGTTATATATGCAAAATCTATGTGAATTTTTAAAAATTAGTTTCCAAAATCATCATTGTCTAAACAGAAAGTTGCCAAAACAACTATTTTGTGTACTGAACTTAACATTTTATTACAGGTGGTAAAAGTTGTCTCTACATTTTAGGTTGTTTTCAAAAAATTTTACACTTATAATCCACCTGGCTGAAAATGTAAAGCAAAACCTGTTTTCTGTTTTTGTATTTGCCATCTGATTTTATGCATGTGTTCCTGGCCTAACAGCATTTGGAGTCCATTCACAAAAACATAATTTGTCATAATATTTTGTTATCAAAACAAAAATTAAGGTTTTAAATAATAAATGATTATTGAATTTTATTAATACTACTATTTCCTGAAATTTAATGATTCATATTATCTGGCACATATTGAAAGCATCATGACAGATGAATGCAGATATGTCTAAAATCAATATGTAATCAAATTATAGCATTTAGTCAAAGAAAAGTATTTAGCCTGGACAGAAATTTGAATCAATATTTTGAATTTGTATCTAATGTTTTAATCAGAAAACAAAATTACTTTCAATGTCTTATAATTATGTCAAAAATATTGGAATGGCTACAGCCTCTACAAGTAGCAATAATCTAGACTGATTATAAAATTGCTTTCTTCTTGTTAGCAAACAAAATTGGAATTTCAAGATAGAAGTCACTTACACCAAAGCAACAGACAAATCACCAACAGAAGAACAATTATTATTAAGTTGGTAGGTATCTTGCTACCTTAACAATTCAGTTAATTATTCCACCTATGATTCAAATGGTATTTACTCTAGATATTGCTATTATTAAAAAAAACTATTTACTTTAGATCCATATCAGATTTAATTATTGTCTTAACAATCTTAAATGACATTTTATTTTTTTTTCAAATCTTACATTTGTTCAAATTCTATTATTTTTCAAAACAGTTCAATTTAATTTTATTCTATTTTGTACCCAAAGCTTCTTATAAAGACAGAAGTATTTGTTTTTTCAAGCATATCAGTCTTTTTCCTTCTACAAATGTTTCAATGCTGAATTTGTTTCATCTTTTAAACCTAAAAACAAAACTTTTTCAAATTTAAAAATCTTTCATATTTATTTATCAATAACTACATACAAGATCAAAGTATTTTCCTTATTTTTCCCCAACACTTTTTTATCTGCAAAATTTATTCAGTTCACAAGACCAGTATAATTATTCAATATTTAATGATACAAACATTTTTGTCCATTACCCATGAACACTAACAGGTATATATTAACAAATACCTGATCCTTAAATTAATACATACAGGTATAGGACAAAATAATAGGAACACCCCTTTCAAAATGTGTTGTACTTTGACCATCCAATACAGCCTGCCACGTGTCGCAACAGTCTGCCATCCAGTGGGGGTGAAAGGGAACGTATAAGTCGAGCATTTGGTGGTGTAACATTTGCATGAGAAAATTCTGTTCCCAGCAAAGTGCCATTATGTCTGACCTGTCTGATGTGCAAAGAGGCATGATTATTAGAGCTCGCCTTGCTGGAGCGTCTATATCTAGAACAACAACCTTATGGGTGTTTCAAGATTCACTGTGTCAAGGTTATGACAGCCTACACAGAACCAGGAAAGGTGTCCTCTGCAAAGCAGAACAGTGGGCGAAAGTCGAAGTTGACCAACCGGGATAGACAAGCATTGAAGAGGATAGTTGCCTGAAAACATAAGACTACACTGCCGCAAATAACCTCCAAGATCAACACCCATCTCCAGAACCCTGTTTCCACCAAAACTATTCAATGAGAGCTGCATACTGTGAGCATTCGTGGCCAAGTAGCCATCCCTAAGCCGTTAGTGTTGCCGCAGAATGCTATGAAGCGACAACAGTGGTGCTGAGACCACCGAAACTGGACACAACAGCAATGGAAACAGGCCATCGGGTCTGACAAATCATCATTTACATTATTTCAGACCACGGCAGAGGAGTTTCATGTTGATTGTCTGGTTCCTACCATGAAGTATGGAGGGGCTCTGTGATGCTGTGGGAAGTGATATCGTGTTGTGGCTTGGGGCCACTCATAGTCCTGAGGGATAAGGTCAGAGACGAGCATTATCGCAGTATTCTCGCAAATCATTTACACCCTGCTTCATACTCTGTTTCATGGAGAACGACCTCTATTTCAAGATGACAACGCTCCTGTACACATGGCTCGCTGTGTTCAAACATGGTTGGATGAGCATAATGATGAAGTGGAACATCTCATGTGGTGTCCTCAGTCCCCTGATCTCAACATCATTGAGCCTGTGTGGAGATTTTTAGAGAACAAAGTCCATGCTTGGTTTCCTCCTCCACTCACACTACCTGAACTCGAGACCACTCTGCAGGAGGAATGGCTGCAAATTCCCTTAAACTTTCTGCATGACCTTTATTTCTCAATCCCACATTGGATACAAGCTGTAACTCAGGCCAGTTCAGCTGTAATTCAGTCTTTTCTGCAATATGTTTAGTTACAGGTAGCATCTGGGGAAAAGGGGCACTTGGCCCAACTCCCTACTAATAAATATTTTGCATTCTTTCACAGGTGTTCCTATTATTTTGTCCTATATCTGTATCTGATTATGATTGTGGGTAATGGATGAAAACATTTGTATAATTAAATAATTTTACTGGTTTTGAGTATATTTGTATTTTTTTTTTCACTTTACAAGCATTATTATTAGTGTAAAGTTTTGATAAATGGAGTAAATGCATTGCAATATTAATTCATTCTATTAAAATATACATAAATGGAATTGGTCAAATGTTTAAGTTTACTAAGTAAGTCAAGTAAATACAGTAGAGCATCGATTATCCGATCAATTGGGGACTCAGGTTGGTCGGATAACTGAAAAAATCGGATAACCGAAAAGAATGAAAAAAATACATTATTAGTATAGTATATTAGTATATCCCATGTAAATAATATATTAGTATATCACTATTAACCAACTTCGCACTGAATTTTCATCGATGTTAAGCCTANAAATGTTTAAGTTTACTAAGTAAGTCAAGTAAATACAGTAGAGCATCGATTATCCGATCAATTGGGGACTCAGGTTGGTCGGATAACTGAAAAAATCGGATAACCGAAAAGAATGAAAAAAATACATTATTAGTATAGTATATTAGTATATCCCATGTAAATAATATATTAGTATATCACTATTAACCAACTTCGCACTGAATTTTCATCGATGTTAAGCCTAACAAATTTTTAAAAAATAATAATCGTTGCTATTGTATCATTAAAAATTATTTTATTGCTCACAAAACAAACAACCACTCATAATTAGAAAATTAAGTCTCGTTTAAATACTAGCCTTCCTTCAATGGTCAAGCCAATGTTGCCAGCTAAAACATGCAAAATTTTAACAAAAATAATATTAATAGCCAAGACATAGCCAAATATTGTAGCACCACATCACTAGTGGACATTTGAAATTTGCTGACTAGAACGGTCGGTTAACCGATGTGACAGGGGTCGAATAATCGATGCTCTACTGTAAATACAGACAGACCTAACATAAGATGATGAAAATCTGATGCAAGGCTCAAAATGTGTAATTACAAAAATCAACAGAATCATCATGACATCATCACAATGCCAGACTGCAATTTTTAATTTATTTATTTTAAAATATATGATCTCAATTTTAGTAGTGTCTTGCCCCTGTATGTCATACTTTTCTGTCAACAATTGTCATGCTAATCATCTATATCACTCTGTTCTAGAGAAAAGTTTTGAAACTGAAATAACATGACTTCCAGTTAGACCAGGCATGGCCAACATACAGCCCGTGGGCTGGATGTGGCCCATGTAATGGATTTATGTGGCCTGTGATTAATCTTTCAATATTAGCTACTCAAGTCAGAATAGATTGGTGAAAAATTCGCATTAAAAAAAAAACAACAAAAAAAAAAAAGTTAACAACTCGCTGTCCGGTTAGAGTTAACCCTCCATTACAAATCTTTTAAGTACAACATAGCATGTCGATAAAGCATGATACAGTAATGTGAAAAATGTATCTGTAATCTCTATGTACAATTTAGTCTCTACGAGATAACTCCACAATGAGATCTCGCACCACCTCAAAATCTTGCTAGGGCAATCTCTGGTTCGGCCCATGAAAAAAGTTCTCTTTCCAATTCGGCCCGGGGGCAAAAACTGTTGGCCACCCCTGAGTTAGACTGAAAGTAGGCATATAGTTAATCGAGGTCTCCTGCCTTAAGCTTTCTGTATTTGGTCTCAACTTTCATCTATCTAATTCTGTCCTCCAGATTAAGAAAGGATAGGCAAAAGGAATTTATAATAAAAAATTTATCCATAAGCTCAATAATGCATACAGGAATGAGCATGTTTAGATAAAAATATAGTTAAACTGGTATCTATAGTTTCAATATTTTTATTATGAGGTGCAGTCAAAAAGTTCCAGGACTGGTGATGTGACACTACAATTGGCAACATGCTGACCTTGCACAAACAAGAATACTTAATAGACATGGTTATTTATCTTCCTGCCAAATTATGTGCCCTTATTGTATATAGCTTTTGTTTCTTGCTATTTAGATAAGATCTGTGTTTTCATTGATTTGCAATTTTCACTGTTATGTAAAATGAGTTTTTTAAAGAACAGCATGTGTGTGAAAGCTTGCTTCAAACTTGACAAGACTGCAACAGAAAAGAAAGTGATTACAAGAGACAAAACATTGATTTACAGCTATGACCCTGAGACTAAACAATAACCAACTAAGTAGAAAATTTATGGATCATCCCAAAGAAAGCACTCCAAGTGAGTGCAATCTCAAGAGCATGCTCATTACTGTTTTTTGATAGGGAGAGAATTATTCTCCGAGAATTTGTTCCACAAGATCAAACTGCACCTCATATAACTATAAAAATAGGATTATTATTTCTAATCTAAATCAATGTCTTAAAGTCATATTGGAAATAATGATGAAATAGTTAAACATTAAACTTTCTAAAATAAAAGCTATAATATCCTGCATAGTATACATATTAAAACAGCACAAAATATAATTTTTATATAACTAAGCTAAATTCTCATACGTGTGATTTCTCTTTTAATTACATGTATGAGAATTAAGTATAGCAAAAAATCATATTTATACCTACACAATCCTGACTTGCAAGTGACTTTACTTTGTAAATAATCTTATTATGTAAAAATTTTTAAAATTATAAAAGATAGTATAGTTTAGTGTAAATAAAAAAACACTTGGATAAAAATATACCTAATATGAAAATATTTGTTAATTAATGGAAAAGTTTTCAAATAATTTATAAAATTTATGATATATTATTTTTCTTAAATAATAAATAATTTTATCAAAGCATAAAAATGACTGCTTGACCATTCTTGCTTGATACTTACATTTAGAATGTTGATCACATAATGCAGCTGCTCTCATGTCACATAACCTAATTGTTCCTTTACTGCTACTATACACAAATACATTACACTGAGAAGGGTGAAACTCAGCTGCCGTTATTACTTCTGTCAATTCCTCCATGTTAGTTGGCTTAATATCAACAATATCTAAATATCAAGTTAAGAATATATATAATTTTATCACTTCCAAAACTACATATTTGATTTACAGAAAATATTGTTTTGAGTATCATTATTGAGAAAATTTCATGAACAACTGGATTTCATTCAGTATCACAAAATATTAAATAAAAATTCTGATAGGCTATAAGAAGATTATTGCTTATATATCAGTTAAAACTACTCATAGTACTTTCAACAAGTATTAACATTTTTTAACGAATAAAAATGTAAATCCTCAGTAATTACTGAATTATTAGAATTTTTGGATTTATGTATGCATTGATAAAATTTTAAAGACAATAATTTTGATGAAAATTCTTTATTAACTATTTTAGTTTCCATTTTTCTCAAATGTAAAATACGCAATCGTTTAAAATGTATTCTTTAAAAATTGATTTAATTAAGTGAACTTACAAATTCAAAGTAAGTAATGAAAACAAAATACTTTTTGAGTCATATGCCCATCATTGTCTGGGCAAGATAACAAATACTAAAATCAACACAGAAAAAAACTTCTTAAGAGGCCATCCATAAATTGTGTAAAGTATTTTTGGGGGTCAAGGATTTCTTACAATTTCTTACTCAGGGGTATGGGGGTAATAGATCTCGTCTTATGTAATATTCTTATTTTTTGATCTCATTAAGTGGTGGAGTTTTGAATTTGGTGGTTTCTATTAGGAATGCTCATTGTACTAATGGTATCTCGCTTGGCGTGATAGAATAACAACACTAGTAGACTCATGCTCTACACATTTTTTATCATGAGAGAAAGGCCATGTGGTAGTTTCTCTCTCTTGTTTTGTTTTGTATGACATTTCTGTTTACATGTGTACTAGCTAATTGATCTGTCAAAGTTTTTTTGCATCCTTTTGTGATAGTAAACAGTCTTTTGAATCATTAAACGTAAAAATACAAAAAAAATAAACTTACATAATGCAAAGATTCTTGAAGTCATATAAAAAAGCACATGCCGACAAGAAAAGTGACAATGTTCAAAAAAATGCAAATCTTGAATGGATTGAAGCAAAAACTCAGTATGGCACTGATATGAAAGGGTTCACTGCTTTTATACAACGATGTATAAACCATCATGACATTCAAGATAAAAATAGAAAAGTAAGTTTATTGTCATATTTTAGAAAGGTACATTGTATATTAAGTTGCTTTTTATACTTTTTTTTTCTTTCTTTTACATGATATAATTGATACATATATATATATATATATACACACACAGTGGGTGATTGGTTAACGAACATAATCCGTTCCAAGACTTTGTTCGCTATCCGAATTGTTCGTTAACCGATTATCGATTTACCACAGGTTTTAATAGGAATTTAATTCATTTGTTCTGGAGACCCCCAAAAATAAAAAATATATACTTTCTTACTACGTTTATTTATATGTAATAATAAAAATACATACATACATACATACATACATAGTCTTGCATTTTTATTACTCATATTTTTTCCATTTGAAAGGATTAAAGAATCTGTCCAATGTCGATTGCTTTTCTCTCTTCTTCAAGATTTTTCGTAAATAATTAATAGCATTGTAATTGTAGAGATCCCTAAGCCTATTAACCTCAACCTGGTTTGGATGCCATGGTAAGATCGTCATTCTGACATCATCCCACTTCTTCAAAAAAATGTTTAATAGCAGATATCGACGTTAATCTTTTCTTGAGTTTCTTGGTGTTCTTCATTCAAGAGTTCTTGGCATTCTTCTGTCATCAGATCCGTTTCAGGTTCCATTATGAACTCTTTGATGTTCTTTATTTCTCAGATGTGATTTTTGTTACTCCTTTAGCTGCTTGAGTCTTCTTGATTATATAGATTTTTTCTTAAATAAGATTGAACTGCGGCCTACTGTAGACCTGTTCACGTCATACTGCCCAGCAACATTAGGCATCTTCTACCCACTCTCTACCTTTGCTATTATACTCTCACCTTTCGAAAAGAAAAACAGACGCAAAACTTAACAAGTGCATACCCAACAGTCTCGCGAGTACATAAAAGAATTGTTTTGTCAGAAAAATAAAAAGCTGGAATTACAAGGGAGAGTTTCAAAGTTCGGAGGAATACTATCTGATCGGTATATACTGGCTTGAGCTTTGATGTCGACGTCTCCCACACTCCGAAAAGTTTTGAATTGTTGCCCGAAGACAAGGGAAGACCAATCAGTATTCATTATTTTACATCGCTGCTTCTTGTGTTTGTTCTGTGGGGTGTTCGTTATCCAAACATAAAAATCTTCGCGAAAGTGTTCGTTATCCGATTACCCACTGTATATATATATTTAGTAAGTAGCCTTATAACAAATAGGGTTGGCATCAGAAAGGGCATATGACCATAAAACCCATGCCCAAACTACATGGAATGTCTGCTAGACTACAAGTAAGTTATAACTCTGTTAAGATGTACCCTTAAGTGAAGTATAGTCATGTTGCCCAAAAAATATGTCAAATGAGCTGGGGCTATCAAACCAAGGACGAGTTTGGATAAAGAAATTAGTCTAGAAAGGGAAGAGGAAGAAGTTAAATATAAGAATAGGTACTTTAAACACTGGAACATTTCAATGGGAAGAGTAGACAGTTGGTTGATCTTATGCAAAAAAGGAGAGTAAACATTTTGTGCCTGCAAGAGACAAGATGAAAAGGAAATAAAGCTAAAGAACTCGGTGAAGGATACAAGATGTTTGCGAGTGGAGTGAATAAGGGAGGAAGGAATGGAGTTGGTATTGTAATTGATAAAGTTCTAAAAGAGGAGTCTGTAAGATTAAACGAAGGTGTGATAAAATTATGATCATTAAGTTGGATGTTAGTAGCATTTTCATTACAATTGTGTGTGTGTATGCTCCTCAGTCAGGTAGTGGAGAAAAATAAAAGACAAACTTTTGGACAGATCTTGACCAAGTTATAATGTGTATTCCTATGAACGAGAGATTAATCTGTGGGGGTGATTTAAATGGCAATGTTTGGATGAGGAAGAATGTGGAAAGAAGAGTTCTTGGGAGGTGGGGTGTGGGAGAAAGCAATGCAGAGGGAGAAAGATTAGTCAATCTTTTAAATGTTGTGCTGTAGGAATTTACTGAATGAAGAAAACCCCAGAATTTTATATGAGAATGGAGAGCCAAATGAAGAAGTGTTGCAAGATATTAGCAGAGAAGAAGTGGAAAGTGTGCTTAGGAAAATGAAGATGGGGAAAGCAGTAGGCACTGATCAGATTCCGATTGAGGCTTGGAGAGGAAATTGATATGCTCTGGGACCTTATGAAGAAACTCTGGCAGCAGGAAAAGATTCCAGATGAATGAAGGAAGAGCATTCTTGTGCCAATCTTTAAAGGTAAAGGGGATTACAGAATTGCAGAAATTACATAGGTATAAAGATATTGTCCCATACTATGAAGATTTGGGAGAAAATTGTAGAAAAAAGGATTAGGCAAGAATCTGAGATTGGAGAGGAATAGTTTGGCTTTTTGCTGGGAAAGAGTATGACTGATGCTATCTTCACTCTAAAACAGATGATGGAAAGGCACAGATAGAGAAATGCAGGAAGATTTGCACATGCTGTTCATAGATCTAGAAAAGGCATGTGATAGGGTACCGAGGCAAGAGATATGATGTTTGAGGGAAAAGAATGTTCCAGAAAAATATGTTAGGCTTGTCAGGGAAATGTACAAGGGAGCAGAGAATCAAGTTAAGAGTAGTGTAAGCACTACAGAAGGGTTCTTCATTAATGTTGGTTTGCACCAGGGATCGGTCCTTAGCCCTTATTTGTTTGACCTGATAATGGATGTGTTGATGTGTGACATGAAGTGTGAGGCTCCATTGAGTATGCTGTTTGTGGATGATATTGTGCTGTGTGAACTTTTCCAAACCAAGGCTGAGAAGAAACTGGAAGATTGGAGGAAAGTTTTGGAAGAAAGAGCATGAAGATTAGCAGAACTAAAACAGTTTATATGACTCTGAATGGTAGAGATGAGTGTAATATTAAAATAAAAAATATGCCATTCCTTTTTGTTCCGAGTTTTAAATATCTTGGGACATTTGTCGAGATGGGAGGAAGATTGAACTCAGAGGTGCAGCATAGAATTCAACTTGGATGGATTAATTGGAGGAAGCTGAGCGAGTATTATGCGACAAGAAAGTTAGCTGCAATCTGAAAGGAAAACTGTATAAATCAGTTGTTAGACGTGCAATGTTATATGGAGCTGAGACATGGGCAACAACAAGAGCCCAAGAAAGAAAGATGGAGGTGGCGGAGATGAGAATGTTGAGATGGATGTGTGGAGTGTCAAGGAAAGATAGAATAAGGAATGTTTTATTAGAGGTTCTGTTAAGGTGGGCCCCTTAAACAAAAAGATGCAAGAATATAGGTTGAGGTGGTTTGGCCATGTAGAGTGAAGAAGTGACAATTACGTTGGAAAGAAGATATGAAAACTGGTAGTAAAGGAAAGAGGAAAAGAGGAAGACCAAAGATGCGTTGGAAAGATAAGGTGGAAGAAGACTTGAACCAGAGTGGACTTAAGAGAGAAACCCTTGATAGGGAGAAATGGAAAAAAACATTAGAGAAGGAAATGCCAACCCCACATAAACATGGGAAAAGGCAAAGATAAAGAAGAAGAACTTGATAAATAATTATTTTAACTTTTTTTTTATGAAACAGAATCATTATAACCTAGTCAATCAAAAGAAAAAAATATGAAATTGTTACAAAAAAAAAAATAACTTATTTGGCACCTAACCAAGATGATAATACTCCTCTTCCTACTGCAAAAAAGCATCAATGTTGAAAATAGTATATAAATACCAAAAACTTTAAAAAACATACAAAGCTCCAGCTCAAGATGAGGCTACTGAGAAAGTTACAAGTTAAAAAATAAATTGAACATTCAGCTTTTAGCTTGAGATGCAATCTAGGCCACTAAATGATATTAAAATAACCAACCAAAAATGAACTAGGTATAGCCAAACAGAATTTGATTAAAAAAAAAAATAAATGCCAATTACCAGCAAAAATTCAGAGCTGCTCGAAAAAACAAGCTGAAATTGATATGTGAATCTAATGTGGATGCAGTTTCAATTTTGAAATTAAAAATGTAGTTAAGTCTTAAAATAAACTCCAGTAAGTTGAGAAGAAGATTGTTATAATACAGTATATTGTCCATTTGAATTTTTTATATTTTTAAATTTGTTCACATAAAGTCTTTTATAAATAATAGTACATATTAATTAACTAATTAATTTTCATAAAAAAATTTTTTTGTTAAAATCTTTCTATAAAATTGTGCCTAAATATTACATAACATAGGGAAGGGGAGGGGGGTCAAAGAAAACGTTATAATTTCTTACACGGGGAGGTGGGGTCTAGAATGGCCGAAATCACCCTCACGTAATTTATGGACAGCCTCTAAATCAAAGTTTAAAGGGTAAACAAATTCCAATTTTGAGTTAATAACATTTTAAAGTGTATCAATTAGTTTTTAAACATGTTTAATAAATGTAGTATTTCTATTTTATTTAATGAAATAATATTTTTTAAGATTTTATAAGCAACAGATGATGAGAAATCTGTAGGAAACCTTGAACCAAGTTACATTATATGAATTGTATGACAACAAATTTCATGTTGTTTGTGATAATAAGTATGGTCTATGTATGTAAGTTTACTTTTCAATGTAATTGTCACAACAGGCAACATATTTCTGACATTACTCTATCAGTGTAAAGATGACACTGCAATAAAAGTCTGTTTTAGAACAGTGAAAATGGAGATTCACAGGCATAAACCTCCACCTTGATAATGTCATCATCTTCAAACTTAATATCCTTCAGTGGATCTAAAAGATGAAGCCTAATAGAATAAGGTCAGGGCTGTATTGAAGATGAGACACCTCCTAGATGCTCTAAGTTGCAGCCTGCTGTGTGAGGATGCACATTGTTGTGTTGCAGGAGTGTGTGTTTGTGTGGAATAAAGTCATACATATTACAGTATTATATATATAAAGTTTATTCTTAAATTAAATAATTAAAAGTCTAGAAATTTTAAAGTTTAGTAAATAATAAAGGATAAGGATACTAAAACTTTGATCAGTAATTTCTAAATGCCATAAATTAATACGAAGATCATCAGCAGACAAATATGTTTCTTGATCACTGTTAACAGAAATGGAATTGATGTGGTATGTATGAGCATTAGCAAAAATTCGCCTGGGACTAGCTTCAACCATCAGCTCCATTGGCTTGACTATAGGAACCCTGAGAGATGTTATTGATGTTGGATCCCGTAACTGGCCACTGTCATCCTTCAGATTATATCCGTCTATCTGCTTGTCTCGTTCAGACACCTTCCATAGTTTAATTGTCTTATCTATTTCATAAAATAAATATTTTAATGTAGTAATTTTTGTGTTTAAGCAATAATAAAATTAATCTATCAAAACAACCACTCATACTTTTCAATGCAGTGCAAATTTTAATTTTTCAAATGTTTTTGATCATTCTAAACACTTTTCCTTAGGATAAAAACTGGTTGCATTTTACAAATAAGAACAAACACTATCCTCTGGAACAATTTGTATTTCAAAATTTTAATGCTTTAGAATCCAAACCATGCATGTCAGACTTCAACATAGAAGTCAGACAGGTGCAGTTAAACAGATGAGATTCTAAAATGTTAAAATTTCAATATACAAATTGTTCCAGAGGACAGCTTTCATTCTTATTTTTAAATTGCAATTGGTTTTTATCCTGAGAAAGAGCATTTAAAAGAACTGAAAACTTGTACAAATAAGAGAATGCGAACAATACGTTTATTATTTGAAAATATGATACAAATTTATATGTTGATCTTTTTAAATTTTGATGTAATTATCCATCAAAAAACTCACCTAGTGGCTTTAAACCTGCTAATGGGGGACCAAGAGGTCTGAAACACAAACATAGTGTGTGTTTCAGATAATAAATAAAAAAACAATTTTTATTGTTCACCTGTTTCACCTGTACAAACATAGTGTGTACTGGTGAAACAGGTGAACAATAAAAATTGTTTTTTTCTGAATAAGTTTCCTCAATTCGCAGAACTGGACACCAGTATAATAAGTCTTACTAATACAATATGTCCCAGTAACATTTATATACAATTTGCACTGCACTTAGAGATATGAATGGTTCTTTTTGTAGTTTATGACAAATGCAGTTTTACTGAATAGTGTGATAAAATTAATCAAAAATAAGTCATTTGATTTTAATAAAACTTCTAATGTTCAAACTAATTGGCTAACTAATTTATAACAATTTATCTCTATAATCATAATAAAATTTCAATTTCTTCAAAATTGCATTTACTTTCAATACAAATACATAGTAGGTGCCAAAAGTTTCCAGCCTAACTATGTTTTAGATGTTGTAGGTATAAAACAATGATGTCATTTTTAATATATTCTCCTTGCAATTCAACACACTTGAAAAAATAGTCTGCAAAATGCTCATCAACTGCCTCCTGAAATTCTTCATTACTTTTTCAAAAGTCTTTTTTGAGTTTTGGAAACATAATAATCACTAGGAGCTAGGTCTGAGTTGTAGAGTGGATGGTCAAGCTCCTTGAACCCAAACTTCTTTACAGCAGCCTTGGCAATGGCAGTCGTGTGCACTGGCACATTGTCCTGCCTGATGCAAATTAATGCAACAAGTCTAACTAAAATGAACGTTTCCAAGCAACATATGCAAATTGGCAGAAAAAACTGTTTTATTAATCCACATATAGATGGTGTTATCTGATACTATCATTATTTTATTCTTATCATGTCTAAAATATAGGCCAGAAACTTTTGGCACCTATCTTGTACTGTACATGTATATCTCTCCCAATGGTCAAATTGAGCTGTACAGACAATCTCAATTAAAAGAAACTGGAAAAACAAAAATAATGAATGTCAAAACTCTTAAAAGTATATACCTAGATACTGATCACTAATCCTCAGATTTGTATGCACATGCATACTTATTTCCTTAAATGCTACAATGAAGAAACTTTCATATTAACATGACTTGAGCTCAAGTGCATCATATCAAAATTGTTTGATAATGTCTGATAATGCATATAAAATAGGCAAATTTATGATTTTTACTACACATTTTATATATTTAACCAGTTTTGGAAATAAATAAATGCTTTATAAACTTTATAGCTTGTTTGAATGATTGCAAGTGCTATTTTCTTTTCAAATGATCTACACTCTATATCTGTACAATGAATCTTTTTCACGCATGAACAGTTTTTGTGAAAAATATCACAATGCCACTAAATTAGAGAGAGCATGCAAAATTCAAATTTTTAAAATTTGAATAGTCTAAGTTGCANACAATATTATATTTCAGATGTAGTTGTATCTATTACGTTTACTTTATTAATTTTAATTAATTTAATTTTTAATATCAACTTACTCATATATTCTTGTATTTCGATACCTTTCTAATTTTTTACCCTATAATTACAAAAGAAAACTCATTTACAATATTTAAAAATTACTATTGTTATTTTATTGATTTAAATAAAACATATTGATATTTTATTAAAACTAAGGGTTAACTATTTTAAAACTTCAAAATTATATTTTTAGATATTTTTAAATCATTACAAGTCAACTTTATAGGTTATATTGTTATCGATAATTGTTTTATTATTGAAAAAAATCCAGCAACGAGTTGCATAACTTTTCCAGCTGTTATGACATATTATTAAAAATAAATAACTTTTATACACAAAAAATTACAATACAAAATTCATTATGAATGTTTATGTAAATTAATTATCTGTCCAATTAAAAGTCCTAAGAAAAAAGAACACCAATGGTCTAAGTTTCAGTTAATACTGGTTTATTACATTTATTAGCCAATTAATGTGTAAATTCTGATTTCATAAACAGATTCATCAAAAATCTAAAGAATATTCAACTGATCTGAGTCATCAGGTTATCTGTCTTTACAATGATAATTTAAGCTGAAGAAAACTTCCAAACAATTAAAAATGCCACGTACTAGTGTTCAATACATAATAAGCAAATTTTGACAGCATAAGAATGTCATAAATCAAGCTGTAAGAGTAGCTGAAGAAGTCAAAAATCAATTAAATATAGTTGTTACATCTCAGACTATACCTAATTGATTACATGATGCTGATCTTCACAGCAGAATATCAAGGTATAAATCTATCACTACCACCATCAATTGGAAAAAGTATATAGACTTGGCAAATAAATATTTAGAGGAAGACCAACAGTTTTGAAATAATATTTCATGGTCAGATGAAATATTATTAGTAAGTTTAATTTATTTATAAAGTAAGTTTAATTTATTTGGGTCAGGTGGATGCATTAAAGTTTGGAGAACACCTAAAACACCTAATGAAGAATATAAAGCAGAATATCTAAAGTTCACTGTAAAACATGGTGATGTGATGGTCTGGTGATATATGGCATCATCTTGAATAGGTAAATTGATTTTTATTGATAAAAATTGGATCAATACCTCTGTACAGATATTTTGAATGAAGTAGTGCTGAAGACTGAACAGTAAAAACAAAAATAAAAAAAGAAAAAGAAACTTGGCTGTAAATTTATTTTCCAATATGATAATGATCTGAAACATACTGTAAAATCAGTAGATTTATACTTAAAAAGAAGATAAAGTGATGGAGCGGGTTGCATAATACGAAGACTTAAATCCAACAGAACATTTATGAGCTGTATTACAGAAAAAATTGTCCCCTAAAAATAAAAACAAGCTGAAAAACTTTTTATTGGAAGGTTGGAACAGCAACTCACCAGAAGAAACTAAATGTTTGATTTTATCAATGAAAAATTGATATCAAGTAGTAATTAAATAAAAAAAAGAGGTCCTACAAAATATTAAAAATTATCATATTGTTATTTTTTAATTTTCTTTTCTTAGATTGTAACAGACAAATAGCTTTTTCATCAATAATTACAGTGCGTCTATTTTTTTATTGTTGAGAAACAAAAATTTATTTAGAACTATTAAGTTAAAAACTAAATTAACAAAGTTAGTATTTATTTTTGTTAAATTTCAAGCATAAGTTTATTCTGTATTGTGTATACAAAAACCATATGATCTTATTTAGTATGGATGAATAATTTTTTGATCCACTTTGTGTGTACAGAAGATATTTAAAACAGATGGATAAAATTCCTTATTGTAATGTATGCCACAAATTATTTCCTGCTGAAAAACAATTTCAAGTATCTTAAATGTTGAAAGATTCTTCCATCTGCACAACACAGCATCATAATAACCAAAACAGGCAAGTTCAAGTTTCAGTGAAAGTAATTTTAGTAAAGCACATGATATCAGTTGGTTATGAAATAATATCAACTTTGGCACTAAATCTGTAATAAGTTAATAACTTCATAAGAGTATTTACCATTTATCATCTATAAAGAGCAATAAACAAAAAATACATGACCACTTCAGACCAGTGACATGACAATAAGATGAGGGAAACTAGGCTAACCCCATCATCCTCAAACATCTTGTAAACAACTGTATATAGGTCATACTGAAAGCCATGAGAAACAATTTTTTTATAAATCACAATCTATTAATTACAAAAAACTAAGAACATTGTCATAATCTACAGATCACAGACAGTGCCATGAGTGAGTCATAACATTATTAGCTTCCATCATGTGACCACACACAGCTGATACAAAAGGCTCCAACTGATGTTTCATTTTGCCAGCTGTGATTAAATTTCTCATTACAGAGGGAATCTCCACTGTAGAAATTCATCAAAGACTTCAGCGTGCCTATGGAGATGTGTGCATGAGTGCTAGCAGTGTTAGAAGGTAGGTAAAACATTTTAAAAATGGAAATACAGGCACCAAAGATCAGCCTCATAGCAGTCATTCAGCAGTTCTGCCTGTAATGAACGCAACAAGGAAAAAATGAATGATATCATCAAGGAAGACCAATACATACTCATTCATTCATTCTACTTGGCACAAAAGTGTTGACTGGTTCAACATAGTATTACCAGGCAGCAGCTCATCTGTTGAAGATGAGAGGTTACACTGGTTGACAATGTATACATTACATTGTGCATATATACAGTAATTACATTGTACTAATTCTGTTGTTTGCCAATCATCAAAAGATACTATGACTAAATTAACATTATTTAAGGGACAAACTAAACTTTTGTCAGAGGACAAAAGTTTAGTGGATGCATAAAATTATTTGCAAAACTTGTCACTAATTTACAGATACAGGAACATGTTAGATGTGTACAATAAAAATGCATATTGTATAGTACAGGGAACAAAATACAAAAAAAAATCAGTCATATGAAATAACATAACATAACATAACATAGAGTAAGGTGAGATGAAGTAATATAAATATATAA